GTAGGATTGAAGTAAGAAATGAAAGCCAAAATCAAGTTACTCGCGATCAAAACTGTACGTATCTTAAAGTTAGTAATGCATAGTTACTCCTGTAATTTTATTAGAATTAATTTTCCCTTATTATGTTATATATTTATAAGAAAAGTTTGAAGACACCATAGGTTAAAGGTTCTAGAGATTTGCCCCTATATATATATATTTATATATATAAATAAATAAATACAAGAAAACACTAAGAAAGTTAAGAAAAACAATAAGTATTTACTTATTTATATGTATTGAACTTATTTATATATATATATATATATAAAAGTACTACTTTTAAACAAGAAAAATAGCTCTGTTTTATTAATGATTATATAAATAAAACATATCCAAAATATTCTTATTTTTAATTTTCTTCGAATAAAATAAGATGCATCGTTTCTTTTGAGTAACAAATAATGTTATCAGAAAACTGTGTTAGCAAAAAATATTTGAAAAAAAAATCGAAAAAAAAACATTGTCATATTTGTTTCAGATGTGTTATGTGAAGGTATAAATTTTGTGTAATTTATAGCATGGAACAATCAGTTTATTTAAGGAACAATCATTTTAACCAATATATTATCAAATGATTTAAAACCTTCTTAAATTAGGCTTAAATCTCATGCATTAATTTAAAGTATTTTGTATGAAACAAATGGATCACATGTTTGGGCCCTTTCGTAAAATTTTGTTAAAAGTTATTTACATAACATACCATTTCTACAAATGCTATATTATGCCCAAATCTTATTTAGATTTATAATAAAAAGAGATAGGCAAAATAAATTTTGATCCAGTCAAAACAACCGTCGACAATTCTTTCAGTGACTTTTTATCAGGTTTTCAGGAATCTGAAAGAGAAAAAAATGATGTTAAAATTAGTTTAATTAATTTAAGTCATCAATAAATTAAATTTATCACTATTCCTCAGATGTTAACAAAGAGAGCAACAAATGTTTGATTTATATAGCCTATTATATTTTTCAGTTAGGAAGGTTTAAAAAACGTAACAAAGAAATTCTTTGACGGGTACTTTTCGAATTTTATTTACAAGAAAAATTAATTTATAGGGTAGTTGTTCACAAAGCTTTTGTAAAAGTAAATGAATTTTTCTTTCGTACCATTGACTAGTATTCTTAAGAAATATGCAACTCATATTGCACAAGGGTTCAGTGTGCAAAATAAAAAACAGAACACAGTGAATTTTATATACCGGGATGATAAAGGTAAAATGTAGTAGAGCGTGCACATTAAGATAATTTTTGTTCTCAGAATGAAACCACGTGACTGGATGGCGAATCAAGAAAGAATTTTCCTATCTTCCGTTTCTACTTGTTATTTCCGTGGAAGAAAATCATTGCGGGAATTTCAAAGCAAGGAAAAAAAATCTTGAAATAAAGTGTGCTGCTCTACTAGTTTACTGTGCTGCATTTGGTTGTACAGAAAAATTTCCTAAAATTAGACCTGACGCCAAAGGTAAGTTAATTTATCACTTTTTGGATATAAAATTGTTTCCTTTATTAAATTAAAAAAAACTTTCAGAATGTTCATCTTTTTTTAAAACATCACATTAAGGCCCCGTTTACATGAGCAATCTATTAATCCGGGGTAAAAGAAGGGTACAGGGATTTTACAGGGCAATGTATAATCGGTAAGAAAACCCGTTTACACGCAAAAGAATTTCAACCCCGGATTTTCAAACAACTTCCTCTACGTCATTGGTCACATGATAAATCGGAAGTAAGAAAATATATCAGCTGGCGATCAGCTGGCTTCTTTTCTTTTTTTCCCGCCATTATTTGAAACAAATTAAAATATTTTCACGTTCCGAGTTCCAAAACAAAACACATGGGCCCAGAACGTAAACAATCACGTGACTCGCAATGCATCTCGGGAAAGCGAGGTGAGCTTACCCTGCATATTTCCATCTCCTACTAGGAATTATTATACCCTTCTTTCAGTCCTTCAATTTTTCCCTGCGTAGGGGAAGAAGGGTAGAAAATGACGAAAATTCCAGCTTTTACCCCGCATTTTTGTGCATGTAAACGGGGCTTAATTCTGACTATTCCATTTTACTAATTTTAAAATCCAAATTAATTTTTTTTCCAATCAATCTCACAAGTAAATGTTAACGAATAAGAACACAACTTAATCGTGAAGCAATGATTTTATCGAATTATTCAGAACTCATAGATAATTATTTTTTGTTAAATTTTAGTGCTAAAATGTAGTAAGCGAAGTTTTGGCATAGTTGTTTCTTCCTTTCTTCGTTTATTCACGTTGTATTTTTTTTACTCTCAATAATGCTTTTAAAAGAATAAATTCCTCAATATTTTATCATTTCAGCAGCTTGCTTTGAACTACTTTATTTAATAAAGGTTGATAAAGTAGTCAAGTTAATAAGTTTAAAGGAGTTAAGAGGATTCTTAAGGTGATGCAGCTCTTTTTGACTCCTCGAGATGTTTAAAATCGTTTCTTGTAAATGTTTTCAAATATTTTAAATGCCAGAAAAGATAACCATGATTTTACAAGATGCAGTACTATTGTAAAATGTATGTTAGATTAATATTTAAACGCGTGCTTTTTTATATTTCGATAAATCAATAAAAAAATATATTATAATTAATACAAAATAACTTCTGATGATTCTATAAATTGCAGAGTTAAATTATAAAAAGTTTTATCAAACGATGCATTTTTACCGTTTCTAAGACCACTCAAAAATTAAAATGTTCTTATTTTTGAAAAAAGTAAATAATTTTACCTACACGTTAAAAAATTTGAATTTTAAAACAATTTTTAATCCAATCACAGAATTCTTGTTGATGTTCCAATATATTACTGTTCCGCTAATCTTAGCGCTCCTGAAACTTTACATTGTCTATATAAGTACAAAACGCGAAACTACAAGATAAGGGAACTCATCTCAGCTCTCACGTGACGCCTTTTTGCCGCCAAAATCACAGAAAGAGAGGGAGCACATGACAGAGGGGATTCTGACGTTTGAAACGAAGAGAGATGTCGAAATATACCAACTCTTCTATGTTCTGACAGAATGAATATGACGGACCTACCTCTTGTTTTTCCAAATATGTTCCACCTGGGTAGTTTTCTCTCTAGGGACATATAAAAAGCATCATTTACGAGAAACCAATTAAATTACATGAAAACTTTGTCCTATGAATTACAATCGCGACCGTGAAATGTCAAGGATCTTAGTCTGTGTGATTCACTACATCTGGCAGATGTGAAGTCTATATTGCAAGCGATGATTACTCATTTAAGTATTTGTTCTAAAGTTTTTCAATATATTCTTTGACAATACTTTCCATTATCAACGAACAAGTGTTGTAAATTTAGATCATATTCCTAATGACGATATTTGGACTCTTTTTGTTATTTTTCTTTTTTCTGCACATAGTGTTCTTTCAACGGACGCAACCACTAAAAGTTTACAAGACAAAACTTACTGTTTGCACTCTATACAATATCTGAAGACATTTTTAACTCAGCCACAATTTTGCTCAATGTGGGTCCTCTATGAACATGCACCGAAGGATCAATATTGGGATCTCTAGATTTTTTAATATTGGGTGAATAATGATTATAAAATACATTAGCAGGAAAATAATTTGGGCCGATATAGGACCAATATTAAAAAATATAGACATCCGAATATTGGTCCTTCGGTGTTTGTTCATTTGGGACCCATATTGAGTCCAACTGGGGCCGAAGTAAAATTGTTGCTAGGGTATTGAGTGAATCTGGCAATTCTACATAGGGCTGATATTGGTTGCAAAATATGTGGTGAATCGAACAATTTTATATAGGTCCAGTATCGGAAAATAATGACCCTTAAAATCCTTATTGAGTCAAAATTCGCGAATATTGGTCAAATGAGGGTCCAAGTTATTTTGCAGCAAAGGATTTTGAGGAAATTTAAAGATAACAATGATGCCCAAGAGGGAATTAACACATGTTTCCTCATGCTGTTTGATCCTTCCCTTTCTCTTGAAACGTCACAATAACAGGAAATCATTTCAATATAACTTTGTGATTTCAATATAATGATGTTTTTCCCATCACCTTAGATGCAAATTTAATAACAGCTGCGTCAAATCACCTTAATATATTAAAACAAACGTAAAGAATTAAATTTGAGTTTGCATTATGCTAGTTGTTAAGGAAGAAAATCAATATTTTGTTGAAATTTTTTTTAAAACAAAATATGTATCAATATCATACAGATATTTGACCCAATCAGAATGAAAAATACTGAACTAGAAAAAAAGATGCCGATTTTTCAGCATATTTCGAGAGATTAATGCACAATTACACGAAAATAAATTGAAAGCACTAATAAAAAATACTGAATTCAGTAAAAATACTGAAAATTCACATGTCTGATCATATGCAGCAGTATTAATATGATATGCAGCACGTACAGTCTACAGAGTTTTTCTCTTTTGCTCAAAAGGATAAATTAAAATACAAACATTGCAACAGAAAACAAATTTATTATACATAATCATACATATTTGTTACAAAAATAATTTTTAGGTTTCATCAAACGATAATTTGATATGTAATAAATAGCAAAAAAAAATTCAAAAATATGGTTAAAAAAATTTTTTTTTGACAAAATAGATTGCTACTTATGCTTATCATTATATTCATTCATTACAGTAATTCTCCCAGTACGATAATCATGTTGCATTATTATCCCTTATCAAGATTGCAATTGCAGCAATTACAGATATTTAATTGGGACCCAACCTAATTTGGATAATCAAAATATTCGGAATACTTTTTATAACCTATTTTATTCGATTTTCAAGAAGGTTAAGGTTATTTCAATAATGGTGCCATATAGTATTTAACTTTAACTTTTAATAGACTAATTAATTAACGTTAAATTAAACAAATTTATTTATCCTGACTTTGTTTGGTTATAAGTATGAGGGGGCAGTACTTATAATTTTGGCAGCAATAAAATTCACTTCAGATGGCAAAAAGAAAAGAACTTATTGTGGAACAGAATTATGACAGTTTATTGAGTAAAAAAGAAAGAGAACTAAGAGCACTCTTAAAAAAGAAATTTAACATTGTTTCCAGATTAAAGTGGTGCAGACAATCAAGGTTATACTGTAGTATTTATTTTATGATCATTGTTAATTGCATAACTAAGAATGCAAATACACGGTAAAACTTTCATAATTAGAATCACCTACATCCGAATAATTCTTCTAACCAAATCAATTCCAAAGTTGATTCTTTTCCCTTCATTTTCAATAATATACTGCCTTAATTCAGTAATACCTAAAACCTTATTAAAAAATATTTTTTGTAAAATAAAGAACTGATCATTTTACGCGAGTAACAAATTAACCTCAATTAACAAATTAACGTGAGTAAACCTCATCAATAAACATTTTGTTAATTTACGAAGTTTTACAAAAGGAATCTGCAAGTTGCAATTTTTATCGTTTCATTACTGCTGGCGTAGTTTTGTTTGAACATCGTGGCTACCACTTCTGCTAAAAGTGAAGTGTGTAAAGTTATCTGGGTGAGAAAAATAGAACATTCTAATGTGAAAAGAATGCAGAGAAATCTTGACAAAGACTGTAAAGAAATATGAATCATTTAAATAGGTTTCGTAGGTTAAGTAGCTATATATATATATATGCAGCTTTAATTTACAGGATATACAGAACTTATTATACACAGTAGTGTCTTAAGTAATTAAAAAGCTACAATGAAAGACATTTTATATGACACAGAAAGTACCTAACAAAAGTATCACAAATACAAGATCTACCTTACACACATATAAATTTTGGCACAGCATTAA